AGAGAGCAGCTATATTGGATCTATCCTTCACTGGCTCCCAGAGGTGGAAATCTTTCCTCTTGAACATTGGCTCAGATCTCTGCAATATAAAGAAGTTTCCAGTCTGCTAGGCTGCAGTATGATTCTCACTTCAGAATGGACACAATGGGCTCCTGATCTCATTTCTAATGCACTTATTGAAAAAAATCTGACTGGAGATTTTTTTTATTTTATTTCACTTTTGAAGTGCAACAGTGAGTGGTGCTAAAAGCAAATGCGTCTGTCTGAAACTGATGAATCTGCTTTATTGCACTGCTTGTTGAATGCATTACAGCAGATTGAAATGAAATGTTTAGTGAGTGACGTTAAAAAACAATATATACTATATTTTCAAATGTATACACTAAATCAGTGGTTCTCAAACATTTTTCACTATAAGTACCACCTCAGAAAAAAATGTCTCCCTAAGTACCACCATACACTGTACAGGGTACAGTGAGGGTACATATTTGTTCCTAGAGGGAACAAAATATATAATTGTACCTTTCAAGGTCTCAAATTAGTCCTTGGGGTACAATTTTGTACCTAAATGGGCTATAAAGGAACAAACATTCAGATTTAGGTTTGAAAGGTACATTTTTGTACCTTTTATAGCACATTTGGGTGCAAAATTGTATCCTAAAGGACCAATTTGGCACCTTTAAAGGTACAATTATATATTTTGTTTCCTATCGGAACAAAATTGTACCCTCAGCTCATGAGATCAAAACACTATATACATGTAACACTAATTTAAATGTATCAATACTAAACATTAATACTAAAATACACATTTTAAAAATATAAAGTTAATGAATTGATTGAATTAAATATTTTAATAATTTCATTTTTTTTCATGTTTTCAAATTCTTTTTTTTCCTCAAAAATTACGTATATGCATAATTGAATGTAATTTGAATCATTAAAAATGTAAATATTGATCTTTGCTTAACTAATTGTTTAAGACCCTAAATGAGATTTAGAATAAGGACCATGCAGAGTGGCAATATCATCATTTAGGTCTTGCTGCTGTCTCTTTAAGAAAATTTGCTTGCTGACACGTTAGTTCGTACTGAGGCGGTCGAGTATGCTGGCTTTTTACACAGAACTCCACATGCAGTCACCAGAGGATCAAAATGCCTGGGTCAGGACCCTGAAAATGCTATATAATACAATAAGGTACATTTTTGAACCTTCAGTGTCCACAATTTTATTCCTTGGGGGTACAAAATTGTCCCTTAAATATTGCAAATGTAGAAGGTACAATTTTGTACCTCTATTTAGTTCTCTATTTAGAGGTACAAAATTGTACCCTTTAGGGTACCACTCCAGTGACGAGCCACTTGTACCCTAAAATGTACAATTTTCTACCTTTTCTTCTGAAAGTGTAATGACTGATATTGAAATACATAGTAGGCCCAATTATGCGGCTACAGCTTACAACAAAACTACAGATTAATACTTACTATTATGAATATTTATTATCGTCAGCCACTTTAAACATAAATAGTTTAAACAATGACATACTTACAGGTAAAAAGAAAAGATATATAAAACGTCAATGTTTAAATTAAAATATGATTTTTTAAGTTCATTAAAAATGGCACTGTTCTTAAAAGGTTAAAAGAAAACTGCTGTACTTAAATGTAAAGTATTATAAAGTAGCCTATTTATCAAAACCTGCAACTGTTTCTTGGACCTTATAAATATAGGTTATACTGTATGTCATAATATTAATATATAACTCTATTTGATAAATTTTGAAATATGTTGCATGTGTCTTATTTGTATATCTTTGAAATCTAAACGTTAACTTGTATTTTAAATATATTCATTAGATAAAATTAGATTAAATTAGAAATTAGATCTGCTTACTGCTCGTTAGAGTAGGCTATGTGTGTCAGAGAAGCAAGTGATTAAACTATACCTGTCAACATTGGGATATCAAAATACAAGATACGCCCCCAAAAGCTGTTACAAGTATGGGGAGGAAAATAATAGAATAATAGAATAATAACAGAATACATAACAAACATTAGAAAAATGAAAATAAAATAAAAAGTTTAGCCTATTGAAATCAATTTCCTGATCACATCGTTGTTATCGTAAGCGTCAAAGGGTTAAAAGTGTGTTCATTTTTTACTTGAATTATTTAGCGATTCTGCGTAACACTAGAAGGAAGCCTGCGTACCACTTGTGGTACCTGTACCACAATTTGAGAACCACTGCACTAAATAATACCATAAAACAACAACAAAAAAAGCTATTTTTGAAGCAGCCATGTCTTTTTAGTTTGCATCAAATCATTAAACTCATTTTATTTCGGACCATTCATCTTGCAAACTCATTTCAGGGTGCCAGGTGAGCTACTGAGGAAGTAGCACAAAAAAAAAAAAAAGCTAACATATGGAGTTGATTATGTGATGCAAATGCTACAACATATTAGTTTGCAAATCATGCATTGTGCTAAAAGTGTTTCGATGTTGCTGTAAGATGTTGTGCAAGGAACTGCTTGTGTATGATGATTATTGTGAAGAGCTAAATTAATCAAATTGAATTGCATTTATGGCGATGCAGTAGTGCTGTCGCCTGACAGCAAGAAGGGCGCTTGTTCGAGCCTTGGCTGGGTCAGTTGGCATTTCTGTGTGGAGTTTGCATGTTCTCCTGGGTTTGTGTGGGTTTCCTCAGGGTGCTCCGGTTTCCCCTACAGTCCAAAGACATGCGATACAGGTGAATTGGGTAGGCTAAATTGTCCGTAGTGTATGAGTGTGAATGAGTGTGTGTGGATGTTTCCCAGTGATGGGTTGCGGCTGGAAGGGCATCCGCTGCATAAAAATGTGCTGGATAAGTTGGCGGTTCATTCCGCTGTGGCATCATCGAATTAATAAAGTGACTAAGCCGAAAAGGAAATGAATGAATGAATTGTATTTATTTACACATACCGTACTTCCAGAAGTTGTCAAAATGTACTTGACCAGACTCCTTCCATAGTGTAGACACTTGGTCAAATGTGTTGAATAGCTATTAAAGACAGCCTCTTTTCTGTCTACTGACATCATTTTTAAAAATGGAAATGAAAATCACTATTTATTCACCTTTTATTTGAACACTAAAGAAGATATTTTGAAGAAAGCTATACATTTTAACCACTGACTTCCATACAATCTCAGGAATAAAGGTACAGGAGCTGTCACTGGGGCAGTATCTTTTCAAAATGTATATATTTGTACCTGAAGGGTCAATAATATTACCTCAAAGGTACTTTTATGTACATTTGTGTACTAATATGCTCCTTTGAGGAACCACTGTTGACTCTTTGGGAACAAATATGGATCCTCAAAAAAGGTATTGCCCTATAGTGACAGGTCCTGTACCTTTATTTCTGAGAGTAGGAAAACTTGACCTATGGTTACAGGTTTTCAGCATTTTTCAAAATATTTTCTTTTGTGTTATTTTCTTATGCGCTGAGTTTGAAGTAATCAATCAGAGAACATGAGACACTACTTTGCCCATTTTAATATTAATGATAAAATCTAAAAATTATAGTATAATATTGAGAGTTAATCTCGAGGCCCACCTGCAGGATCACTGAGGCCAACAAGTGGGATGCGGTGGTTGTGAATCCCTGCTTTACAGGTACAACTTAAAACCTAAAAAGTACAAATGTGTACCTTATAGTACTATAAAGAAACAAAAGTGTGCCCTAAAGGTACAAAATTTTACTTTTAAGGTACCAATATGCATATTTAACACACAAAATTGCATCTTTAAAAAGGTACCACCCCAGTGACAGGTTTTGTACCTTAATTTTTGAAAGTGTTCATATATATATCTAAAAGCTAAAATAAAATCTTTTAAAAACATTTGGGTACTTATATGCTCTTTTGAGGTACCACTGTGGACTCTTTGGGTACAAATATAAATCCTTTGAAAAGTTATTGCCCCAGTGACAGGTTCTGTATCTTTATTTCTTAGTGTAGTAGAAAAGCTTCACCTATGGCTACAGGTTTTCAGCCATTTTCAAAATATTTTCTTTTGTGTTCAACAGAAGGAAGAAACTCATAAAGGCTTGAAACAAGTAAATAGTGAATGTATGATGACAATACTTTTCTTTTTGGGTGAACTCTTTTTGGTTCTCTGTGCTTTTTGTTTCTAGAATCCCACATTGCTTGACGTGACTTTGTACGATTGAAATAGAGATCTGCTTTATAACTTTTTCTCTTTTTTTCATGTTTTGTGCCACTTTGTTTAAATAGCAAATCAATTTGCACCACTTTGTGGACTTATGGGTGTGCTGGTCTAAAAAGGATCTGTGTTATACAATATCCCTCTGCTTCACATAGGGCTAAACTCTGCGATAACCTTCTGGATGTGTATTATCTCTAACTTAATGCACTGTGAGATAACAAGCTAACAATGAACAACTTTACTGTAATGAATATTTGATCTTTGTTTGTTAACGTAAGTATTAGATTAACTAACATTAACTCAATGGACCGGCTGGGTTATTTGGCATTTCTGTGAGGAGTTTGCGTGTTCTCCCTGTGTTTGCATGGCTTTCCTCCGGGTGCTCCGGGTTCCCCCACAAGTCGAAAGATATACGATACAGGTGAATTAGGTAAGCTTAATTGGCCCTAAGGTATGTGTGTGAATGAGTGTGTAGGGTATGTGTGTGAATGAGTGTGTATGAATGTTTCCCAGTGATGAGTTGCGGCTCGAAGGGCTTTTTAAGTTAACGGTTCATTCAGCTGTGGCAATCCCAGATTAAACAAGGGACTAAGCCAAAAAGAAAATGACATAAATAAACTAAATGGACTATTATTTTATGGTCATTGACTGGACAAGGATTTTGACTCCATTCAAAATGTTATGTTCTGTGTTGGGGAAAACAGCATTACACTTGTTGCCCAAACCAGGCTATTAACTAGCACTGCATGCCATTTACTTAGCAGACCAACCAGGATATTTAGTTTCATCCCTACCTGATGGAGTTTGGCATCATTCCTGCACTCTGTCCATTCCCAGGCAGCTCTATGTGGAATCCATTAGGGATGCTCCATTGTGCCGGCTGGCTCAACACATTTTCCGATCTGCTTCCTGGTATAGTTGTCCGCAGTGGACTTGCAGAGCTGGCTTCATCCCTAGCCGTCTCAGTCCCAAACTCGCCCTCACCCTCGGCCCCCTCCTGCACGGTCTCCAGCTCCAGTTCTGGAGGTTCGGGGCCCATCAGAGCCCTCTGCTGGATGAGCGGGGTGAGCGGCGCCTCGAAGCTGACACAGCTGTCCGTCTCGTCTGTAAGCGACAGGACGTCCAGGGAATCCAGACTGCTGTAGCAAGTCCCGCCTCGTAAAAGCTCGGACTCAACTATACGCTCGAACGTGGAGCTGAATCCATCCTGGCTCTCTTTCGTCCTGTCGAACTCTTCCTCTCCCTCCTCCTCCTCTTCCTCCTCCTCCACAACCGTGGCCTTGGCAACCCGCTCGACAATGCTCTCAAAAGTAGAGCTGAAACTGTCCTGATTTCGAGTCTCTGTCTCCTCCCTTTCTTCGTCCTCTACCTCAGCATCCGCTTCTTCGACGGACAGCTCAAAGGTAGAGCTGAAGGCGTCTAGGTTTCCCTCATGAGGTATCACCTCCTCATCATCCTGTTCCTCACTGTCATCTTCGGTCCCGTTCTCAAACCTGCAGTAACAGATTTGATTCTGGGGTTAAACACACACCTGGATACATACGGCGGTCTGGCTTTAGAGTGCATAAAGGCTGGCATGCACAGTGCATGTTCCTATCTTTAGTCTGTCACAGTTCTTCATCACGACTGCGTCCCAGCAGAGGAGAGCATCATTCAGGACAGCTCCCCTGCCACTTGCACTGCCCAAAATATCTCCCCACCCTCATTGTAACATGCATGTCACATCATTCGGGAAGCCCAACACTAAAAATTCACACAGCTAAACTCTGGAATACACGTGTTTCATATTCAAAATCATTTGTGATGACATGACGAGCTTATTGGGAAATATTTTGGAAAATGAAGGAAGGTTTTGCTGATCATTCGGGTCTGTTTAGTGAGGTTGTAAAAAGTGAACTAAAATTATACTTGAGAAGGTACACAATGTAAGTAATGCTGGGCTCCCCACAATTCCTTTACATTCTCCTTAAACAAATTGATTCAATTTACTTCATCATTTTACAAATGTAATTGGATTGAATAAAACAATTAAGTTAAATATATATATATATATATATATTCAGGGCTCAACAATAAGGATGGCCCAGGGCCAGCATGAGAGATGCTCGGGACAGTAGACAGAATCGTTACTGGCCTGATCAGGGCAGTGCTGCCTTGTCACTAAATTGTAATAGATTTAACATAACCGAAACATCAAATTATGAGGTTAAAAGAAAACGTCTGCTTCTAACGTTTTGGAAACACAATGAAAAAAATGAAGTGATGTTTTGCTTAGTTTGCAGTCACTTTTAATTCAGCCACCTTTTGTTTTGCAATAAAATACCTGCACATATTCCGCACTCTATATTTTATTGCTAAATATTTTAACATTTTTCAAATATTAAAATTCTTGATTCACATACATTATTTTGTGACACATTATTTAATATATGTGGATAAGAAATAGCAATTAACTTTTTTTTATTTTTACTTTTTATTTTTTTATTTTTTAAAGGCAGCAGTGAAATTTTTGGCAGAGCAAGTAAAAATCTGAACCACTGGTTCCATTGGGCCTGTAGGAAAAATCCCTAGCGTTGAACCCTGATATATATATATATATATATATATATATATATATATATATATATATATATATATATATATATATATATTATATAAAAAATTAAAAAAATTATAAAAAATGTCTCTGTCAATGTTTTCAAACTATTATATTGGATTTACCAAAATCACACAAGTGCAAATTTCATATGTGTCACATCCATATTGAAGAAACCTCACATCCATAACGAAGCTTTTTCCTCATGAATGCAAAAAAAAAGTGAATGCAATGAATGCAATGAATGCAAAACAATCGTTTTTGTTCTATAACAAGCAACTCTTGTGCTTTTGATGAGCATCATTTCTTTTGGGTTGTAAAGTTTAATTCACAGAATTTCAACAAAGTTTGTTATTTACTGTAAACTTTTTTTTCGTCACATCCATAACTCATGTTTATTTCCATTATTTAAAATATACAAAGTGTTTACAGACTGATATTTTTTTTGCTACCGGAACTCTGTGGTTGTTTGTTTTGGAAAATATAAACAGATGTTACAATATTATGTCAACATAAACTATACTTTCTCTGTGAATTTATGCTTTACAAATAAATCTAAAGGAAGGAGAGTGTATCTATTAAATGGAAGACAAGATGTTAAGAGTAAGTTGTAAAACATCTAGAGCATCTAACCTTTTCCAGCTATTAGATGGTACCCACAAGCCATTGAGATGTAGTCGGAGGCTTCTTTGATTCCATGTAAAGTAGAATATGGTGCCAAGCAAATAATGAGTTAAAGGCTACAATATATTAGGTTGTTTCAAATTAAACTAATTAAACTTGACCAAATGTTTGCAACCCCTCAAAAATGGCTACCACCAGACATTTTTAACTGGAAAATTAATTCAAATCAATCTCACAGAAATCCCATTTCTAAAATGCACATTAATAATACTATTTCTTCATTTTCTTACCTAAGAGAACATATAGTCACACTTGAGTCCTTTTCTGCGCGCTGTGTGTCTCCACCTTCACAGATGTCGCCGTTTTCTGTTCCAGGATCTAAACAGCTGCTCTCAATCTCACCATTTCTCCCATCATCCTGATCTAACGTCACCTTCTCCTCCTCCTCCTCCTCCTCCTCTTCTGTGTTTCTGTTATTCTCAGTGTCTCCATCATCAGGCTCCTCTGTCTCAGTCTCTGTCCCATTACAGTTCTCCAAATGTTCTTCTTGTCCCTCAGGTGTTTCTGCAGGTGTGTGGAGGGGGTCATCCTGCCCCTCCTGACTCATGTTGACCTCCTCGACCACGACGTCCTGTCAGCCTATGGTGTCACGGGGTCAGGGTCAAGAACACGGTAGAGGGGGGTAAACTTCAGACCTATTGATATAGAAGACAAAACAGAGTAATAAGATAAGAGACACAAAGTGGAGGGGTGATGTATGAGGACTGAAGGGGGAGAAAAACAACCGCTTGGATGTACTTTATGCCACTTTTTGCATGTCTTTTTGTCCGAAAAGTACCCAAATGAGTCTTTGTTATTAGCTTCAGCGGTTGTTATCTCAGATTATTACATGGCTCTCTTAAATAATTGATTCTGATTGGTCAGTTGCGACATTCCAAGGTATAAGTTATTCACAGATATTTTCACGCTTGTCTCTCACGCTGTTGTTTTTGACGGTTTGGCGCCATCTTGTGACAGGTTCATTTTTAACCATTTTCGTTTCTGTCAGCTGCATTTAATTAAAATTGATAAAGTATTACGACTCAGAACAATTCTTAGTGTCTAAAATTTACGTTTTGTGGTAAGTAGCCATGTAATAAGCGAAATTAAGTCAACCTAGACGGCTGTTTTTGCAGAAAAAAAGCCCTTCAGTCTTTTATAAGAGTGCTTCAAATCGAATGTGACCACATCCCCCTGGATGTACTTTAGGTAGTTTGCAATGTCATTATTGACCAAATAGAATCAAGTACTCCAGACAGTTGACGTGTAGTAATAATGAATAACGAAAGATCTGCTGAGAAAATGCAGGCGTTTTATAATCACCCTCATTAGTATGGAAATACCTGTGTAGATTAATACCCACACTGTCAGCAAATGTATAAGGACTCATTTGTTACCAGAGGAAATATTGCTTTAAAAGATAATACCTTAGAAAGGTTTGCAAGGATTTTAGGATTCAAGATTCTTACTGTTAGAACACCATGGAAATGGCTGGAAACCAGCCTGGAAGTGGCCAAAACCCCTCTAAAACCAGCCTGGTTGACCAGCTAAAACCAGCCAACCAGCCTAGGCTGGTTTAAGCTGGATTTTTCAGCAGGGCATAAACAGATGCAATTGCAATACGAAATTACACTGCATGAAAAACACAATTTCCAACTAAATACACTATATAACGATTACTAAAAATAATTTAATCAAGGATTTTGTGGATCATAACTATAAGAATATGAAAAATATAGAATATATAGGCCAAAGCAATATAAACATTTTAAATGAATGAAAGATGTAGGTCCTATCTGTCAAAAGTTTGGAATATATATAGATATGTGTGTGTGTGTATTAGTGGTAGGCTGTTATCGTGTTAACATGCTGCGTTAACGACAGACTCTTATCGGTCCATAAAAAAATATTGGCGTTAATTTATTTTCAAAGTAGGGGTGGGAGCTGGGTCTATTCTACGCAAGCTATGGTGACTTTCACTTTGATATTTTATCGCGGATGTATACCTGACCAGTGCCCTGACAAAAAAGTGCCCTTCTAAATCACATCAGCATGATGCCCTTCTGGATATTTTACTTACTTCAAAGAAACTACTGACTACGCTTACATGGACATCTCTAGTCTAGTTATTTGTCTTAATAGACAATAATATAATTGTTTACATGAAGTGCTTTTATAAGTTGTCTGTAATTTTGACTTTAACTGCAATTCGGCAGTTTTACATTCACTTATGAACATTTCATTCATGCCCCCGTGACAAACTGGGCTATTAGAGACAAATAAGGAGTAAGGACTGGTGCGAGTGTTATGGAATTTAATAAAACACACTGAATGGAAAGAAAAAAAAATTCTGCATTTTGCGATGTGTGTGTGTGTGTTTGTGCGGTCCTTTACTGACAGCCGCGTGTTTGGATCTTGTCGGAAAGTATAGCGGAAAGTCCTGCATGACGCTAATAGTTTGATTGCAGTGTAGGCCTACTGTTCAAAATTCATGTTTAACTGCATAAACAGTTCATAAACACAAGTACATCTTATTGAACATCATTTTTCATCACCAATGATCATGTAGAACAGTTTCTCAACCAGTTTGTGATGCATTTTGGGAACAGGAGATGAGCCCCTGGTCTAATGCGCCACCTAGCATGAGAAACTCGGTCTCAAAGACTTACTTTTAGTCATTATTTGGGTAACTTAGCGCACATATTCTGAATGCCTTCGGCAGAATTCAAATGAGCCATCTTAATCTAGATTAATAGATTAATTCCCAGATTACAGTGAGATTAATCTAGATACATTTTTTTTTATCTGTGCCCACCTATAATCTCATAATATCTCATTTATTTAATTAAAAATGCTGGGAAATATGTGAGTATTGAGCTGAACTATATATATATAAATATATATATATATATATATATATATATATATATATATATATATATATATATATATATATATATATATATATATATATATATATATAGATGTTAGTGCTGAACTAACATATCATATTATCAGTGTTAAAAAGAGTTGTGCTGCTTTTCGTGTTGTTGTTGTTTTAAAGCAATATTAATATTAGTTTTTATTTTAAAGCAAGGATGTATTAAACAGACCAAAAGTAACAATAAAGACATACATAATGTAACAGAAAATGCATTTGAGTTACATAAAAAAAGTGGGACAAATTTTGTGGCATGATGGCTCAGTGGTTAGCAAGGTAGCCTCAAAGCAAGAGGGTTGCTGGTTCGAGTTCGGCTGGGCCAGTTGGCATTTCTGTGTGGAGTTTACATGATCTCCCAGTGTGAGTTTCCTCCGGGCGCTCCAGTTTCCCCCACAGTCTAAAGACATGCACTATTGTTGAATTGAATGAACTAAATTAGCTGTAGTCTATATGTGTGTGTGTGTGTGTGTGTGTGTATGAATAAATGTGTATGGATGTTTCCCAGTACTGGGTTGCAGCTGGAAGGGTATCTACTGCGTAAAACATACTAAAATAGTTGCTGGTTTATTCCGTTGTTGTGACCCCTGATAAATAAAAGAACTAAGCTGAAGGAAAATTAATGATTAAATTTTGGGTGTCATCAATCAAATTAAAAAGTGAATAAACCCTTTTGACCTTGAATGCTTGATTCTGATTGGTTGCTCAGAAGCACAAATGTCCTCTATGGAAATCAACAAATAATGTAATTAGTGATTTTGTTTTAATCCTATCAAATAAAAAAGAGAGGAGTGGACACGTCTGAGTCTGACCAGCTGGCTGCATCAAGCATTCTGCAGACGGATGCAGTCAGGTGGCAGGATCTTAAAAGTTTAAACAGCCATTCAGACTCCATTAACTGCTGTCATTTTAGTGTTTTATCAAGTCCGCAGAAGCGCAGCCTGGTGAGAATGCATTAGCTTTGACTCAGCAAACCTCAAGTGCCGACGATGTTTTACATGCTGGAAGCTGAGAAATCAAACCCTCACTGCGGAGGGGGAACTGAAGGGTCAGACTGAGTCTAATTTGAAAAAATCTGCTCTGATGTATAACATCTGCTATCGGGAAACCTCTCCAAAACCTGCTGGACAGGACAGATGTTCAGTGCTGAATTACAATCATTCACCAACCCATTTTACCTCATTTTGATCTTTTCATATCATTTAATTTCAGTTTTCTTATTTACTTTTTCCTTATTTGCTGCATATATATTTTATTTTATATACAGTTATATTATCAGTTATTTATATACATTAGCCCCACTGTTTGTTTATTTTTCCCCCAATTTCTGTTAAACGGAGAGATTTATTTTCAACACTTTTTTTAAACATAACAGTTTTAATAACTCATATATCAAATATACTGTATGGTGTATATTGTGTACAGCTATAATAGATATGTTATACACTCATATACCATACTAATATCAGTGCAGATAATTATACAAAGAAAATTACATAGATAAGCAGGCAAATATATAAACAAGCAAACAAAAAATTAATAAATAGATTTTAAAAAAATTAACATACCCAAAAGCAAACCAAAGGGTGATGTTATCTTTACAATATATTTTAATATTTTTTATGTATTTTCTTTTATAACTATATATATATATATATATATATATATATATATATATATATATATATATATATATATACAAAAAAAATATATATATATATATACATAACATATATATCTGATATGTTCTGGGTCTGGTGTGGTCTTGTGACAACTTAAATTAAAGGGATAGTTCACCCAAAAATTTAAATTCTTTTCTCAAACCTAATTGAGGTTCTTTCTTCTGTTAAACACACAACAATTGCTGGTTGCTGGGACCTATTGACTAACATAGAATATATTTTTTTCCTAATATGAAAGTTGATAGGTCTCAGCAAAGTATCTTCTTCAAAGTATCTTCTTTTGTGCTCGACAGAAGAAAAAAAAAAGTTTTTTGGGAGTTTTTATCTCTTTAAGGAGGTACTCAAGTGTAACATATAGCAAAAGTCAAAATGTAAGCAAAAAGTTTGCCTTGTTTTTCTCAGTAAATATAATTTGTCTCTTTTAATTTTTGAAAGTCAACAGACCTTATATACTTTAATAATTGTAGCCAAAATAGGCTAAATTAAATCGGTTACATTATTGATTTTTTTCTTTATGCCAAAAATTATTAAAATATTAAGTAACTATTACAAACCATGAAGATATTTAGTAAATCTCCTACAAATGTACAGTTAAAGTCAGAATTATTAGCCCCTCTGAATTATTAGACCCCCCTATTTACTTTTTCCCCCCCAATTTCTGTTTAACGGAGAGCAGATTTTAAACATAATAGTTTTAATAACTATTTTCTAATAACTGATTTATTTTATCTTTGTCAAGATGACAGTACATCATATTTTACTAGAAATTTTTTCAAGACACTTTACAGCTTAAAGTGACATTTAAAGACTTAACTAGGTAAATTAGGTTAACTAGGCAGGTTAAGGGTAATTAGGCAAGTTATTGTATAATGATGGTTTGTTCTGTAGACTATCGGAGGAAAAAAGGTTTAAAGGGGCTAATAATATTGAACTTAAAATGGGTTTTAAAAAATTCAAAACTTATTTTATTTAAGCTGAAATAAAACAAATAAGTCTTTCTCCAGAAGAAAAAATATTACCAGACATGCTGTGATAA